CCGGGGAGTTGGAGGTCGCCCCTGCTTTTTTTCCCCCCCTCAGCCTGTAACACGGGGCCATGGGCCCCCCCTCCCCCCCCCCCCGCAACACCCATTGGGCTGCTTGCCTGGGACTCCTGCCTCTTCCCGCTTAATGACCTGCATGGTCCTGGGGTTATGATGGCAACCTATCCCAATTGCCGTCATAACCCGAGGACTACCTGTACAAACATTTTAAAGAAAGTTGCGTTCCCAGGTTAACTCTGGAAGCTCATTGAAGTCTTATTTGGAAGGTGCATAAGATGTTTGCATCACAGCTAGGTATTAAAATAACTGAAACATTAAGAATTGGTTGCTGAGTTCTAACCCCATTTTGCCTTCTTAGAGCACTTCTACATTCCTTGGCTCTCCAACATCACTAATGTTGTGTGAAAACATGGACCAGAGCTGCTTTCAAACTGGCACAGAATTCTTGTGTGGAAGTGCCTTGAGTTATGTCTTTTTAGATTGTCAAACTACCAGCTGTTTTATCCAATTTAAGCTTCTATGAAACCAGTATTACCCAACTTTAGCAAGTTCCAGATGTGTAGACTTCAACTCCCAGAATCCCACTGCCATCATGGCCATCACTGGGGATTCTGGGGGTTGAAGTCCATGAATCTGGAAGTTATCACGTTTGGGAAATATGCTTTTAAGTCAGCAAACCAACCAACCTTCTTATCAACTCAGGTCTCTCTTATCTGAGTGGCATTATATATTAGCTTCTCCAGTTTGGTATATTCTAGATGTGTTCACTAGAGATGAGCAAAGTATTCAATGAGGCATTTCACACTGCATACTAATACAAGCAAAATGTTTCCCCTTAGGATTTTTTGGAGGATGTTTCCTCCAAAACAGGATTTTGGAGGCAGCCATAACCTCCAAAAGACTCAGCAAGACTGCTTTAGGGATTGAATGGGATCCAGACTGAATGGGCATACTCAAGCAGCCAGGTTTTCAAGACAGGCAAGGTCAAGAAAGGTAGGGATGTCAAGATGCTCTTTATTGTTGTAGGGTAGCATAGCAAGATTTTGAAACCCGGTCAGAGTTCTTTCGGTCCCACCTTATGCTAAACAAAATCAAGGCATGATTATTTCTCACACTTTCCTCTTTCTCAGGATGGACTAATCTTTTCTGAAAGTCCCCATTTAATGGTTCTCTCATTCCTTCCCCATTCTCATGACTGGGTTTACATTCCTGCACATACACACCCAGAGAACGCTTCCATTAGGACTATAAGCAACCATCTGGGAAAACTCTATAAGCAGCTGTATTGGTAGGCAACCATTACAAGTTACAATGATGTCAAAATTATAACACGTGTCATGATATCATGCCACCAATGAAGCAATTGCGTACTTGGATCATGATATTTGAGTCATTTGTTATCATTTGCCCCCTTATGGATTGCCAGGGTGCTGAGCCTTTCAGAAGATGCTACTGGCTCATTGCTTCAAAGAAGGTGTTTCACTTGCACCAACATGCTTCAGGAAGGACATTTTTAATGCTTTGCCCAGTCCTATGTTTACCTATAACTCCATAATTCCCAGCTACCATCATAGTTGGGCTCACTGAGGATAATGGAGTTACAGCCCATCATAGCTTAAAGGTCTCTGAGTTCAGAAAAGCTGGTGTATCCACTACAACATCTGTTTAGCTTCTATATTCTCTTGTTTCCACATCATATTCCCAATAGTTAGCCTTCTATGTCAGTTGGCTTGACTTACATCAATGTCATTTGGGAACTAGGATGTGAATACCTTTTTAAAAATTATTTCTGAACCTGCTGATTATGTACATTGCTGAAAATGATTTGGTGCATAATTTCCAGAAAGTTAGTAGAAGAGGAAAACAATAACGCTCTCCTCTTTCCTTTTATCCCCTCTTCTGAGCACAGATATTTTTCTTGATAGATAAAAAATAAAGAGAAGTGGAGAAAGAAAACAGCTTTCAGTGTCAAAGGAATGTTTGTGGTTGGTTAAAGAACTCTATGAGTTTTTAAGATGCATAAAGTACTTTACCTGATTTCCATCTTGTCAACTTCATCAGCATCTTCAATTTCAAAATGGGATTTCTTGCTATAGCTGCTTGGCCTAGTAATCTAGTACAGACAAGAAATTTTAAAATAGGATCTTATTATTAACAAAAATCCATTAAACACTTTATATAGGGAACCTCAATGCAATTACACATTGCAGTTGATTTAATTTCATAAATATAATTTTATTAAACTCCAACATTTTAGATAATGCATAATTTATAAGCATACATATTAAGCTGCATCATATTTTGTAGTGTAAATTTATCTACAACTGTTTTAATAAACATATATGTAAACCACTGAAATAGAGTCTATATTTGTATGCCACTAGCTCATTTAAAACACTAAAAGGAACATTCCCATAAACTGATCTGGCAAGTGAGATTATTATGTTTATTTTATAAAATACTTACAAAATACTGCAGTAAAATATTGCATTAAAATTAAAACATTGCCAAAAAAATAAATTTCATATAATTTCACACTTCATATAATAGAGAAAAATACAGAGCATGTTTTATTTAGAAATTGAAACAAATGTTATCTCATTTATTGCAGAGTATTATGCAACATCAGCAGATTAACTGCATTTTTCTTAGCTTTTATATATCCATAATTCTAGTGTGTTATTGTATTACTGTCAGTTTGTGTGCCACGCATATTAGTCACTCACCCACAATCATTCTGAGACAAGTTTTAATGGTTTTCTAATAGGTAGTAAGCATTGCATGCAGGTCTCAGCAGGCTGATTGACAGACAATGTCTTAATTGGAACATTCCTTCCCCCTCTAACCAATAGTTTGTACTTATTCAAAACTTGGTCCAATGTGCATGATATACCATTCTGTCTATCTTAGGACCAGTATCTGAAGGCAGCAATTGGTACGGTACGGTATGGTACGGATGCCACCCCTCCACACATACCAGTTTTGCAGAATTGATGGAAACTGACAATTACCAAAGTAGAACTGATATAGCTCCATGCACATATTCCTGTATTACAAATTCTGCTCTTGTATGTTAAACCCTATACTACAAACTCTTCTTCGTGTTAAATCAGGAATGACATATTTTCAAGTGGCCTGAGGCCAAAATTCTGAAAAAAGAAACGACAGGAGATGTGAGGAGGCATGCAAGCAAAGCACCTAAGAAATTTACATGTAAAACAGTACACACTGGCTAACATAATGACTGAGAATCCATGCCAAAGTATTCATTACAAGCCATTCTCCCTGTTTTTTTCTCTAAAGATTTATGATTCATAGCTATGCAAAATCTGGACCTATGGGAATATAATTCAGATATCCCAGTGAACATACATCAAATCAGCTGGTATTATTTGTTAAAACAATATGATCCTTTCATCTAGTGTGACAACCAACCTCCATCATGGACTCAGTCAATTACAAATTCTTGAGGGTTTTTTTAGTTAAAAAAACAACAGCAATCAATTTCCAAATGAGAACAGGAAGAAATAAAGGAACAAGAAGCAATTAGTCAAAATTAATGATTGGTAAGAATGCTAATAAAAGGAAATTCAGAAACAAAATCTTCTGGTGAAGTCAATTCCTCCAAATAATAGTTTCATTTTTATTGGTGGAGCAAGCTCTCTTGATTTTTCCCTCTTCCTCTGCTCTATTTCCCTACAATTTTATAAGCTACAAGGGAAAGGAAGGAAAACAGTGCTGGTAAATATAGAACATTGTTTTCTATAATTCAGATTAAATGTTATTCCCCTTGACTTAGTGGCCAGGAGCTTTACAACAAATAAATACACCCAGTGTTCATATTGGCAATGCAAACTCCAAGTACGCGTGGAGATCTTCATGCAGAAAGCAAAGACCTATCTATAAACAGGTACTGTGAAGAACTGCTGCTTCACCTGCCAATGTTCTCTATGTTCTAACAAAATATGAGAAAGTTCAACTTGCAAGAAAAATGTTTGCTGATAAGGGAGGAATGTCCTGGGACTGGATATTTCTCAATTTCCCAGAGCTCCCAGTAAAAGTTTTTTTTTTAACCCAAGATCTTTCTAGAAAGGCTTGAAAAGTCCCAGATCCTTTGGAATCAAAATGACTTGGCTCCATCTATTACTAAATTATTATTATCCTTGGTATTCAGATAACAGGGAAGTGTATGTTCGATTTCCATGTCCAAGGGGAAACCGCTATCGGTCTGACAACGCTCCAGGCAAATAGTAGAGTTTAAGGCAGGAAAACCAGCGGCTCTAAATAACAACTGAAAGGCTTAGATAGAAGATGAAAATGAAGGGAGGAAGTAAAGAAAGGGAAGAATTTAGTCTGGCATCATTCACAGCAAGACACCCTCCAGGGCTCAGTTCTGCAGGCTGTCTTGATAAGGCCTGGCTTTATTGTTGTGGAGAGATGATGACAGGACTTAAGTCAGATGACAGGGCTTATGCCTCCACTTAATTAGTACCCCCCCCCCCGAGAAACATGGCCCAGTCTAGCAGGAAGTCAAGGGCCAAAGGAGCCCCTCTTCAAGACTCATTCCTCCTTCTGCAATAGGTCTCCTGTGTAGCAGATGGCAGTTCGAGAAAAAAAAATAAGAACTTGCATTTATAAACACCATGGCTGAGGTTAATCTGTAAACTGCAATTATGAGTCACTTTGAACGCATCTTTTTGTAGCCAAATCTAAAGTGTAGTAACCTTTAGAAGTTATTGCAGGAAGGCCAGTAACTCAGTACAGTTACAGACTAGCTAGTAATACATGAATATAATATCCTGCAATAGAACGTAAGTATATGGTGGGGGATAAATATACATTGTGTATCAGCCTTGAAATCTGAGGAAGGAGAAGCAAGTCCACCTCTGAACATATTACAGAAATACTATTTCCCCCCCCCCCCCAAAATGGAACTGAATACATTTCTCAGCCAGAAAGCAACATAATGACCTTTCTCATCTGGGTCCAGATATTATCTTCTCTTCTTATTTATCCTTACTGTAGTATTTCAGTACTTTGAAGATTGAAAAACAAAAGGATAATAGAAAATAGCATCCAGACAGATCGAAAAGCAATCAGATGTAACAAGTGTATGCGTATACGTGAATATATACTAACAGATTTTAATGCTTCTGAATACTTGGAACATTTATATGTTTATGGAATTCCTAACCATTTCAGATCTCCTAAATCAGCCATACCATTCAGCCTTTAGCCATGAAAATCAGTCAGTCTCTATGAGGGATTTAAGAACTGTATTTATCTATTTTGTTTGCCTAATTGCTGTGTGTGTGTGTGTGTGTGTGAGAGAGAGAGAGAGAGAGATTTATTTTGGAGATAAATTGAAAAAGCAATTGGTTCCCTGAAAATCTCTACTTTGATTATATTCAGTATCTGAAAGTTGGTTTTGATACCCAGAATGTCACCTTCCTTCTTTCCTCAACCTCTGAATCTACAAGCAAATATGCTTCATGATGCTTTTCAAGCACCTCAGAAGCAGCTGCATATGTAAAGCATGGGAGGGGACTATAGACCTTTACTGAAATTATCTATAAATCTTTCACATAACCCAACAAAAACAACAAAAGCTTTGAGGTTTTTATTTCTAACGAGTCTATGACATGGAATGAGAGCACTCCACCCAACAATAACCACAATATAATCCCTCCCATTATAAATTCAGAAACATTTCTTCCCCAAACAAGTAGCATTATTACTATAAGTTTTCTTTAATGTATCAGCAAACTGATTTAATTGCATTTTTAAAACTGAGTCAACCAAAGAAAATTCAGTTCTGAATACAAAGCCAAATAAACAGACATGTATGAGGTACATGCAGTTTCATGCAGTACGTGATAAACAATGGGAATTAAAACATCAAAAATAGAAACTTTAGTATGTATTTAACTTAAATGTACCTTGGAATAAGTGACTCAGTGTGCCAATTCCATATATGTTGCAATATTTTGTAAAATCCACTACTGGCAGAATTAATTTCTCTTTGAAATCTTATGAAGAATAGAGCCACCATAAATTCAATTCAGTTAGCACTTTAAAATTGGTTATACCTTCCCACATTTGGTAAAATTTTACCAGTTTGAGTCTTTGAAGTGGAAATACAGCCACTGATATACCTCAGATTGGATGCCCCAGAGGTCTCAGGGTACCTTGACAGATTTGATGCGTGTGTCCCCTTCAATGTTCCACACAATTCATACAGCAGCTGATTACAAGTCAACTCGGATGATAGCTGTGTCTGCCACCATGACATTTATATTTTGTACTCTGCAAGTTACCTATCACCAGACTATAGCCATTTGTTTTTTCAGGGAGCTCAACTGTAAATGTGAAGAGTCTCCAGAACTGAAAATATCATCAATTCTAAAGCTCTGTGTGGTTTTTGACATGGAGGTTTCGCAGTTCCTTGAAGAAGTTTTCATCTTGCAGGACTGCATGAAAATATACCATACGACTTCTGTACATTTCCAAAATATATTTTGACTCCCGGGCTCCTCCATATGGCACAGGTACCATACAGATTCAGAGTGTATTGGGCAGGATGAAAACAAAGCCCAAGGACTTCTGACTTAACTGCAGTTTTCACATCCTGGTATTTTTCAGATATATTTCAAGCATTTTCATATCCTGGCCCTTTGCAGTTCTGCACTCTTATATTCCCTGCCAGTACTTTCTTGACTTGTTCTACAATTTCTTCTTTCTTTTTAATTGCTGTCCAGCATTTTCAGGAAGCATTCCTGCACAAGTCCTTCCTATTTTTCTCATGTACATATTTCAAGACATGTATTAACTGCTGAGTATGAGAGGAGTTGAGTGTCCAGCCCACAAGGAGTCCATTCTACTGAGCATTTCTTCAAGAAGTATATATAACACTTACTTAGCACACACCTTGAAAAACCCAATTCTAGCTCTGCCAGGACATTTTTATTCCCTTTGTCTCTTCTTAACCATTTGATGCTCCTCAAGAAATTTAAAATCTTGGTTGCATTTAAAGATCAATTTTACAGGGGAGGAAGATCCCATCATCGCTATGGTGAACAGTTTAATGTGATTCTTGGGAGGATAAATTTTGCTGTTCCAGAAACTGGGTTAAGTCATTTAGGGCAGTGTTGTCCAAACTTGGCCACTTTAAGATGAGTGGACTTCAACTCCCAGAATCCCCCAGCCACCCATGCTGGCTGGGGA